CAGTGCTATATCTCAGTGTTTTTCTGCTATTCATAAGATTTTCAGTGACTAAATATTCGGAAGTAGTTAGTTTATCTTTCTTTCTAGTCTGTCTTCATCTGGAAGTTCATCTGAAACCTGCCCACCATGGGTGACCCTGCTGGCATAGCTTCTAGAATCACAGCAACTCACAAGCCACCACAGTACGACAAACTAATAGACAAGTGGTAGTGGGCCTGATATGGCTGGACTAAATTAGTGACAATCCTTAAAGTATTGTCCAAAGCAATCTATAGATTCAATATAATCTTGATAAGAATTCCAACAGCCTTCTTCACAGAAACAAAAAAACGAATCAATCCTCCATTTTATATGGAATGGCAAAATGCCCCAAATATCTAAAGCAATGAAAGAGGACTCAAACTCCCTGATTTTAAAATATATAACACAGCTACAGTAATCAAAACATCTTGGTACTGGTATAATAACAGACCTATAGGCCAATGGAACAGTACTGAGAGTCCTGAAATAAATCAACATATGTATGGTCAACTGGTTTTTGCTTTTCCCCCCATAATTATACCTTTTATTCAGATAGCAGCCTGATCACACATGGTCCAAGAACACTCAAATAGTAACCTGAATATCAGATGGTAAAGGTTGGTCTTCAAACATCATAGCCAGTGATGCCATGCTTTTTTTTTATCTCACTGATATAAAACAACATCCACACCTCATTGGCTACCAATCCATTCAGCAGAGTTTCCTTAACTGTGAGCTGTTTGAAATGACCCTTTTTAGCACTACTGACTTATGTTTTCCAGGCTCTGAATAGCTGTAGGGATCTCAGCAGGGGTTGAAGAAACTAGTTTCAACTTGGCATAATACGAAAATATGGCCAATTGAGGCTTCAAGTAAGTTGCAGTCGCGTTTACCAACGCCAGAGCCGTCTCCACCAGGTTACGGATAAACTGGACTATGGTTCTAAGATGGAAAGCCTGTTTCTCCCAGTGGCCTGCTGAATGTGACCTCTGGGGTCAACTGGTTTTTGACAAGGGTGCAAAGTCCATTTTATGGAGAAAGAAGAGTTTCCTCAATAAAGGATACTGGAAAATTTTTATTTCCATATGAAACAGTATCGATGTTTTACACCATACACAAAAACAAATTAAAAATGGATTAAGGGCCTAAATGTACAAACTAAAACCATAAAATTATTATAAAATTATTAGAAGAACAACCACAGCAATGATGTCAGGCCTTGCTTTCAACAATGGGTTATCTAAGATAAAAACAAAAGCACAAATAGCAAAAGACTAAATAAATGGAACCTCATAAAAATTAAAAACTTTTCTACATCAAAAGATAATCAATAAAGGAAAAAGACAAGCTACCAACTGGAAGAGACTCTTTGGAAACTATTTATCCAACAAGAACTAAAAACCAAAATATACATAAATCTTCAACAATAACAAAAAGATAAATAACACAATCATATAATGAGCAAAGGATTTTAATACAAGTTTCAGCATAGAGGACATTCAAATGGCCACCAAACACATGAAAGACGTGTTGCATCATTCACCATCAAAGAAATGCAAATCAAAACCACAATGAGATACCATTTTACTCTCACCAAAACGGGTCTGATTAAAAATAGTAACAAATGTTGGCAAGGAAGTAGGGAAATGGGACCCTTAATCATTGCTGGTGGGAGTGAAAACAGTATCACTATTATGGAAAGCAGTGTAGGAATTCCTGAAAAAAAAAAAACAAA